ATATATATATATATATATATATATATATATATATATATATATATATATATATATATATATATATATATATATATATATATAGTTATTGAAAACATTGTAGCTGTTAGCACCAAACGATACGTATTTTTAAACTGACGTGGTGAAGGGAAGCAGATCCAAACCATGAATCAAGACGTCTCATGCAATTAAATTTGATCTGTGTCCATCACGTTCTGACAGATTGCATTCTCGGACTTGCGTCAAACAGTAATACTATCGCATTCCACTGCCAATTTGAGTAACCTAAAAAGTTATTGCAAAATGAAATTTACAAATTAGAATAGAGCACGAGAATAACTTACAGGCTTATTAGCTAAATTGTAGTGCTTCTCGAGGAGTTGTATTCGTCCGCAAACAAGCGAATACATCCCATCATCCAAACCACTTCGATCATTTGCAAAGAATTGCAACTTATTGTCGTTAAAACAAACCCGAATAATTTCGTTCAGAAACCAGAAACCAATCAAACGTTGTGGATAACCGTCAACAAGTGCAATTCGACCATCCTTTAAAAATGAAACTAATTCGGCGGAGAACTAAATGGACCATTTTGGTTCCACAGACTGCTCTTTTTTTTTCGCTTTCCTTTCAGTTCCTGTTTTTGTTTTTCTATCTTCTCCCTCACCCAACAAATTTGATAAAGCTTTGCAACAAAGGAATAAGTGATTACGTGTAAATTTCAAAAACTAACATGTATATGCAATCGAACTTCGCAATTTAACGAGTTGTATGCACGACTTGATTCAGGCGCACTAACCAGTTGTGCATAAAATAGTGAACCTACAAATTCACATATATATATATATATATATATACATAAAGTAATGGCGGAAAAGTTGTGTAGAAAATGTGGAGTGAGAAAAGTAAAGTTTTCGAACCATTTCACCATATTATTGCTGACATTGCTAAGGACAATTAAAACAATCAGTCATAACTGTTTGGCATTTTCCGTAAAACAATGAATCTATCAATTTATTCCAGTCTTTTCAGTATGATTTACTTTCATTTATTCTTAATCTACCCAATCATATTATCTATCCTCTGTCTATAAGGGTTTTTTTTTTGATCCAATACCATTATAATACACATGCTCTTCAGTTTATATTACCGCCGGGAATTCATTTGAGATTATCTGAATAGGAAGTAGTGATTATCTGAGTATTCAACCTCAAATTATTTCTCAAGGAAAACTTCAGTTAAAACTATTCATGCCTCAGTCCATCAGAAATGATTTGTTACATTCCTTTTTGTTTCCATTGGTCAGGTCAATTTGGTGCACTCTAAGATATTCTTTAAACATTGGTTCTAATTAGCTACAAATATATAATTGTCATTATATATTAATTACCACAGAATTCCCCAGTAGGTCCGATATTCGATCACTTTCGGGATTAGAATGCAGAAATGAAAACCAAAGATAATATGGAAATATGAAAATGAGATAGCATTACAACACGACGGTG